TTGCTAAAAAATACAAATTAATTCATAGAACCACTTTATTAGTTCATTCAAAATCACTAAATGTCGTAACGGAACGTCAATGCAGTGGCCCACTTCTGCACTTGGCCCACAAGCATAATTTGACGAGAAATAACGTGGTCATAACACCTAGCGACAATATAAAACAGTCTCTTTAAATTTTTTAAGGTTAGGTCTGATACTCTAATAAAGGCTACTTACCCGATTGAATTCGATGAATAACTTATGTAAACAACGATAACTTTTACAATGAGAAAAAAAGAAAAAGTAGATAATTTTTTGCACTAATTGCTGGAGAACACACACGGTGAGCTTCAAGCCTCGATGAGTATAATGAAAATGGTGACAAAAACGGACGACGGCATTTCGTTTGTATGCCTTTTAAGCATTAAAATCCGTGATATCCAAAATCGCAGCTGATCATTTTTTCGAAATAACCTAAAATACAATTTTATTGCTTTAAATAGTTCCTGAACGCAGTTTTCTATTAATAACTTTAATAACTTTGATTATTCTAATTAAATATCACTCTCTGCTTGCCCCCAGAACCAACGACGTGGACGTGGTGATATACTGGTCCCTTTTTTATTTTTTTAATGTTTTTTTTCGTTTTTTTGTTTTTTTTGTTTTTTTGTTTAAAATACTTTTTAAGTTTTTTATTTTCATTATTTGTTTCTCACATGATGTAAATAAAATTTGTCATAGGAACACTAATAAACGAAATAAAGGAAAATTAAAAGAAAAGATTAAATATGACGCGAGGAAAATTCAACTACGGCTTTTTTAAGCCTTTGTAAGTACATGGGGTCGTCAATCAGGTTCATCTTATATCTTCCCCAAAAATTCGTGGTGGATCGATTCACCTGTCTGCTCAGAAAAAATACCCAATCCGTTATTTCCCAAAAAATTAATACATTGTTTTGTATGCGCCAAAGCTACATGGATTTTCAATGTTTCGGAGACTTCATCGGTACCACGTACAGCTGTTCGTAATTCTTTAATATGTTTGTCTATATCTATATTGGGATCTATTTCTTTAGCAGAAAAGCAGCATGTAACAAGTTATTAATTTTTTATTTTCGTAAAGAAAAATACATATTTTTTTAAAAGTTATGTCCCATCTCGCAAGTGTAAAAAAAAGTTGTCCCACTACTGCAGTGATTGCGGCCTTCTGAGTGACTGAAATCAAAAAAACTAAAAAGATTATTAAACTAGAAGACATTTGCCGTACTATGACCCTCGGATGGAAAAGAATATTGAATTTCAAAAAAATGGCGGAGTTTTGAAAAAAAATTATAAATTTCGACTAAAAAATTCGATAGTTTTTGGCATCCCAAAATTTTATTTTTCATCCAAAAAAAACTGGAGCCTCATAGTACGGCAAATATCTTCTAGTTTAATAATCTTTTTGGTTTTTTTTATTTCAGTCACTCAGAAGGCCGCAATAACTGCAGCAGTGGAGAAACTGTTTTTTTTATATAGCGAATAACTCTTTAAAAAAAAGATATTTTTCTTTGCAAAAATTACAAAATGTTCATTATTTATACAAATATACATGTACAAAACTTTAAAAAAAATTAGATGCAATAATTTCCTTAAAGAAATTCCTAAAAATCGACGTTTTTTTCAGTCACTCACACTAGGTGTGCCCCTTAACAGCTTTCGGCAGGCATTGCCTTCAAAAATCTCGCCTTGGTAATTTCTCGGAATAATTTTCAGTTTCTTCGGCCAGATTAATGCTTTGTCTCGACCGACTAGAGGTACCAAGCCATTCTAAAAGTAATGGTTAACAAATCCCTGTAATATGTGAAGCTCGGGAAGGACACATTTCTCTAGGACGTAGACATCATCATTTTCGTCAAAAAGTGAAGGATTTATTGTACTGTTTGATTCCTTTGCAAATTTCTTGTTTTTACCCTGAGAACAAAATTTACTGTAGTCTCTCTTTAAATCTCCGTATGTTTTCAAACCTTTATATTCATTATTATTATCCGCCAAACTTTGCACACAATCTCCCTCGTCTACTCCCTTACGCTCGTTATCATGCGAATCTTGGTTTCTCAATTCCTTGCGATCTTTTAAGTCCTTCAGTGTTATAAAACAGAAAGGGCAAGGAAATGTCGAAGTAGCCGTTTGCATGCCATTGATTATAAGAATAAGTTTAAAGTCGGCAACAAATTTGAAGGAAATATTGTTTAGATTAATCAATTTGAATAAAATCTTAACGTTTTCATACGTTTCTTTTATTTGCGGTACTGTGCACAGCATTATTAACCTGTATACGCTAGTCAACTTGGCTTTTTTCCAGTCGAACCTCCTTCAGAATATCTAGTACGCTTTCTCGCTGGCTGTGTAATATCATATAAATCGCATTCTACTTCTGGTGAATAATTTTCTGGGAATACTGACATAGAGATTTTAAAAAAACCCTGACCGCCATCTGCTATGATTTTAACAATAGTATTTCCAATAAAATTTCGCTCTCTTACAACAATTTCGAGTAGTTCATCCGCTTCAGCCCAAACAACAGGTCTTTTTTCTTTTAACTTATTATCAGTATCAAAGTTAAATGTCCCTTCTTTGTATACGTCTACTAAGGTTTTGGACTTTTCAGAAACATGTTTATATACGTAGATGTGCAATTGTCAATGCGAACAAACTGTCGCTTGCTCTACCAGTATGGCATTCTCTTACATATTGACTTCTATGTGCTTATATATTTATATACATATATTTTGAAAAAATTGTTAACTGTAACTCTTAAAAATAATAATTACATGAGATCTAATGACGTAACTTTAATAAATAAAACGATTAAAAATATCATTTGCGAACAAAAAATAATTATTACACCAATATTTTCACTTTTTTATTCCTAAGATATGACATTAAGAGCTTAAGAATAATTTTTAAACGAAATGAATAGATTTTTTGGCAGCGTTGACTTTATTGACACGCTTACAAACGCTTTAAAACAAAAAATATGTATTTTAGGTTATTTCGAAAAAATGATCAGCTGCGATTTCGGACTTCACGGATTTTAATGCTTAAAAGGCATACAAATGAAATGCAGTTGTCAATTTTTGTCACCCTTTTTATTATACACATCGTGGCTTGAAGCTCACCGTGCACAATTGTACGTCGCACACTTCAATGACCAACTGAAAATTGACCTTCTGTTAATAAAAAAAGAAAAAAAAATTCGGTTGACAGATATGTCACTTGTAAAACCAAAAACGGCGGGTGGCCCACTTCTGTCAATAAAAAAAATATACTCTAAATAAAAAAATAAAAATAAATAAATAAATTAAAATAAATAAAATATATATATATATATATATATTATTATATCATATTATTTATATTATATATAAATATACTCTACCTCTAGCAAATGGTTAGGTTGGTTGAGCACCGTAGTTCGGGGTCGTCCATAAACCACGTAGCCCCATTTTTTGGGAATTTTGACCCCCCCTCCCCCTGTAGTACGCTATTACACGTATTAGCGCCATTTTTTCCTCTTGTCGCAGTCAATTGCTTGACCCCCCCTTCCCCTCAAGAGGCTACGTGGTTTATGGATGGCCCTTTCGTTTTGGCTATTAGTCTTTTCAACGCTAACTTATATATTATTTCAGTCATTTTTCACTAATTGGCCATTTAAAAAATAACTGAAATTTTCAATATATGTGACAGAAATTTTCAGTAGTTTTTTCATTGGCGAATCAGTGCAGTGGAAAATGATTAAAATTCCAGTTATTTTTAATTGATTTTCAGTGAAATTCCACAGATTCAAATCGCGAGAATAGAGTCACTGATTCTCAGCCAAATTTCACTGATTTTCAGTGGAATTTCACTGATTCAGATTTAGAGAGCGGGCATTTGTCATATTGATGTCCCTCGTCTGCACAGTATGAGCACACATTTGTCTTCTTCTGACAAAACTTGAAAATATGACCAAACTTTATACACTTATAACATCTTTATATGCCACGGTAGTCGTGCCACCTTTGATGTTGTATCAACTTTAAACTTAAGTACAAATCCCTGTTTAAATTCTTGAAGCTCAATGTCCTTAAGAGTGTTTTCATTCTGTGCATAAGCATTACCGACTAATTTCGATGTGTCCAATTCCTTGGGCACATAAAAAATCAAAAGCTTGGGATTCAACTGCCCAATGGGAAATTTTCCAATGGTGACCATTGGCGTAATGATGGCCCAAGATTGGGATATTTATTGGCTTAATATTTATTCCCAATATGGGTTTATCACTGGGAGATACTTGGGATGATCACGTCGTCACCAATACTGGGCAACCATATTTGGACCAATGTTGGCAACCAAGAATTTGTCTGGATATATGGATTCTATGGTCAAACGTTGGCAGTAATCATTGGGCCATTACTGGCGTCCAGATGTCAATATAAGAATTTGAACACTTGGATAAATAGTGGCATTAATTATTGGCCCATTACTGGCGACCAGACAATAACGTAAATGTTTAAACAGTTGGTTAAATACTGACAGTGATTATTGGCCCATTATTTTTTACCAAATCTTAACCTAAATATTTTTATTGTTTGTTAAATATTGGCAATAATTATTGGCCCATTAACAGCAGCCAAATTTTAGCCTAACATATGCTAATATAATAAATAATAAAAAATCAATAAAACTGAATAACTAAAAAAATTTTGCCTGAATTTAAAAATTATTTTAATTTTTAAATAATTTAAAGAAATTTATTAAAAAATTTTAGAATTATTATTATTTATTATTATAATAATTATTATTACAACTTAAGAAATAACACCAAATTGTCAAACATTTTTTCATTATTTATTTAATCCTCTTTAAGTGAAAATTAACATAATTAATTAATTAATTAACAAGCAAACTTCTTTCATAATTGTAACATAATTTTAATGATAATGCGATTATATTATAGCAATAATAATTATAATTTTTTTTAAAAATAATTTTAATGAATTTAAATGAATTAAAGTAATCAGACATTTTCATCTACATTCATCTCAACTGTAATTTCTCCATCTTCAGTTTGATTTTCTTCGATATTTGTATTCTCTGTCGGCAATTCTTTACTTGTTGACGCTCTCTCTTTTCTTCCTCCTTCCCTGTCTCCAGCTTGGGACAACCATATTCCTATGGCACTGCTCAAATCGTTCTCCTTCGTTTCCTCGAGTTTAAAAAGCGTTGCAGCTGTAAAATGTAATAAGTGTCAATTATAAAAAATAAACTACAGTGACTTTAATTTGGAGAGTAACTTTAATTAATAAGGATTCAAAACTAATTTAATTTTCTATATTTTGTAAAAACAATTGACAAAATTTTAGTTTAACAGGGAAAAAATTTCGAAATTACCTTTAATACAGGAAAACGTATTTGTTTTGGAAAAATTCAATTTCCCCTTCCCCTTTATCGTTTTTCCTTTTCCGGAATACTTTTGCTGCACATCTTTTTTTATAATTTTGGGCATGATGGATTTTACAGCATCGCGTAAATTTGTTGCACCAGCTATCTCTCGCAAAATTTGAGTTTTCTAAAAATATAAAAAAAACAAATAATTTTAAGTATAGTTTAAAGTTATTAATTTTCCAGAAAAATTTGACAGAACGAAATTTGTTGTAAATATGAATTTTTTCACTCTAAAAAATTAAGTGACTGTAATAATAAATTAAAAATTATAAATTAACATTTTTAAATTTACCAAACTATCTTGCAAATCTGTGCTATTCTTTAATTTTTCGTCAAACTTTAGAAAATCTTCCAATGATTCAATTGGAAGCTCATCCATTGAAGGGTTTTCTAAAAAAGATTTAATTTGGGATCCAACTCCAACCTGATTCACCATTTTCAAAATTACTTGGGTTCGTTGACTAATATCATACTGGATTCGACGTAACAGATTTAAAAATTTTCCATCTATGTATCCCATTAATCTTTTCTCCATACTTTCGATAAAGTCAGTTATGTCAGTAACTGCAATTAATTTAAAACGCAAACAATTAAAAGTAAATTGAGATCTTATAATATACAATATCAAAAACTTCCTTACAATTTTGAATGTTTGATTTTGAAATAGGTGAATCTTCGGATTCACTAGAGCTTGATGAGCTTTCACAATCGAATTTCGATTCTTCCCCAATTTTATTTTTCTTGTGAATCCTTGTATCCCTAAAAAGCGACTTTCCTGGAATATAAATTTTTATTTACATAAAAAGTTTTTATTAAAATAAGTTAATAATAAATGAATTAGCTGATTAATAAAAATTGATTAAATAATATAAATACCAATCAGGAAATTTTAAAATCGTTAAATTTAAAGAGTTAAAGTAATAATAATAAATAAAATAAATAATAAGAAATATTAATAAGTAATACATAATAAAAATAATAATAACAATAATAATAAATTCTAAGAAATAGTAATAAATAATTGATAAATACTAACAAAAATTATAACAAATAGTAATAAATAATAATAAAATACTAAAAAGACTTAAAAATAATTTCAAAAGATAAATACTACTTTAAATTAATAATATTTTCACATTTATAACAGGTACTTGCTTTTAATTTTAGAAGAAAGGCTTTTTTTCGGAGAAACCTGATTCTTAAACTCATCCTCACTTGAAGATGAATAGTTAACCACATTTGTTAATCGATTATCTAGTTTTAAAAAATCATATGTATTAAAATAATATTATTATTTATATTAATAAATATTATAGTAAAATAAAAAATAATTAATAATTTATTGTAATTATTTCATAAAAAATAAAATAATATTAATAAATAATAAATATAAATATATAAATAATAATTTCAAAAGTTTAAAGGTTATAAAAAATAGTTAGAAACATAACATACTCTCCGGGATTTTTGGCACTCCTGGTTTTAAGATTTCGATTGCCTTTATCTTTGGACTCTTTTCAGGTGTAGAAGCTTCACTGGATGACTGCAAATCTTGAATAGCTAAAACAAAATTTAAATAATGGAAATGTAATAATTAAATATTAAATAATAATAAAATTAAATATTATTATATTATTAATTAAAGGAACAAAATTTATTATTAATTTCTTTATGCCTGAAACTTGGATGTCATCATTTTTTTTGAGTCCTTGAATTTGATGTAAAATTGATTTTGCATTTTCTGGAGATAATACTTCCAAGTTTTCCTGAACTTCTACGTGATTTTCAAACTCAGTATTACTGCTGCTCTCAACCGCATCATCCAAGCACATTCTGTCGTATCTCCTCTTTGCTTGATCATAGTCTCCTTTAAAAATAGTAACAAAATTTGAAATGAAATGAAATATTAAGAAATAAAATTAGAATATACAACTAATTATATAAAAAAAACCATTCCATTTTATTTAACAATTTATATGAAAATAACCTTAAAGTGTAAGAAAAAAAATTGCAAAATAAATGCGTATATATATATATATATTTTTTTTAAACAATAATTGAAAAATATATAATACTTACGAGCTTCTTTAATCATATTTGCTGGAAAGTGTTTCCAGGTTTCTAAAGGATCAATTCCTTCCTTTACCCACATGTCAACCTTTGAGTAATCCTCTTCTCCTGGGTATTTACAACGTAACTCCTGTGATTTTTTTGTATAAAATACCCAAGACAAAGGCACAATTTCGACACATTTTTTTAATTTAAAAATTTTAAATTTCTTTAAATTTACGGAGCTCTTTGGGAACTCTAAAAGCGCGAACTTATTGGCAGTATTCATTTTACTTTTGGATAAAATGATTCTTGATGCTTCCTTTCAAATAATTTGACGTTTGATTTTTTGTTTGTCAAAATTTGTATTCAATTGTTTGCATAGTAACGTTGGATTTTTCGTTTGTCAAAATTTTTATTCAATTGTTTACATAGTAACAAAATTCATGTATCAATTTATGTGTAAAAAAACAATTGGTGTCTTTCTAAAATTGTATCGCTTGTCAAATTAAAATTTTTTGATTCGAAAATTTTTATTGTCGTAAGTCAATAAAAGAAAACGAACTGTTAGTGAGCTTAATAATGTTTCGCATTATAGTGAAATTAATTCATATGGAGGAAATTATAGTGAAAGTAATAGCAAGTCGGATTTTATTTTTATGAAAAGTCAAATTTCAACAAATTATGAAGTTAATAATAAAAAACGACGCATAGAAGATACTAATAATGATTCTTGTCAAATTCAAAGTTCTGAAACTCCCCAAGCTATTCAAGAATTAATTTTTAATAATAATAGTAATAACATCGATAATAATGACGATCGCACTGAAGATAATAAAATTGATGATCGAATAAATGACTCTTTGAAATATCTTGAAGATTTTAACGATCAATTCGACGATAATGATGATGTACTGGATAATGCTGCAGAAAATGACGAATCTGAGTGTTCTTCTAATATTTCACAATCGATATGTGTAAATCAAGACATAAATTCATTGGAAAATTTAAGAACTAGATTGCATGTTTGGGCCATAAAGTTCAGGAAAAATCTAACGCGAAATTGCATAGAACATTTGTTAATAGATTTAAAAGAATCTGGTCACGGCGAGTTACCTAAGTCAGTAGCTACTCTTGTTCCATCAAATTCAAAGACAAATTTCGATATACGTGTTATGAAAAGTGCGAGAGGAAAACTTGGATGCTTTGCATATTTTGGTATTGCTGACTCATTGCGTAAAATTATTAATTCATCAGTTTATATTGAAAGTAAAATTTGCATAATTGTTAACGTGGACGGAATGGAGATTTTCAATAATTCTAAGGAACAGTTATGGCCTATATTAGGAATTGTCAATCATAAAGATTATAAATCATCGCCCTTTATTATAGCTTTGTTTGGAGGCAATTCAAAACCAGGTTCTGCAAAAGAATTTTTTTTTCAGTTTGTGGAAGAAATGAATAGTCTTTTAACAAATGGTATAGAAATAGAGGAGACATTATATGTGGTACAGTTCCAAGGATTTGTTTGCGATACACCAGCAAGATCTTTTATTAAGGGCTGCAAAGGTCATACTGGATTTTGTACATGGGTCAAATTTTCTCAAAAAAATCAAAGTTGGTCATGGGTCTTTCAATTTTTGTTAAACTTGGTATAAAGGTAGTGTTTTATGACAGAAGATTTTAGGAAAAAAAGATTTTTAAAAATTTTCAAAATTGTGGATTTTACCGGGCATTAAATATTAAAGCACATTTTTTTTTAAAAACGAATAACTTTTGTCCATTTAGTTACATTTTGTTTATACTTTAGGTAATAATAGTTGATTATATAACAATTAAAAGTGCAATATTAAAGAAAAAAAAATCCATAATTTGCCCGGAAAAAAAGTCAAAAAAAATTTTGATTTCATTTTTTCGGGCATAAGCACCCCTTCGATTTTTTTGTAACTATAATATTTGGATTTGTTATCTTCTCCAGAATTTTTTTCAAAAAAAAAATCTCTGGAGACTTTAAAATTAACCGAAATATCGAATTTTTTGTCTCGAGGTGCACAAATATCGATCTCGCGTAAACACGCCTGAGATGTGCACCAAACGTTTTTAAGCGTGAATTTTTGCATTCTAATATGTTTTTGTTAATTTTTAGTAAACAAGGAAGGTTTAAAATCAAGTTTTGCAATTATAATTTTGTTTTTAAACAATTTTGAATCTCAAAATGTGTATGTAATATATAAGGGGCAAATTTTCTCAAATGTACCAATGTCAAAATTGCAAGTTGTTAGATCGGGCTAATATTTTCACAGTATTTAGAACTATGAATGAGTACTTAAAACCACCTAGTAATTATGAAATTTTTTTAAAAATTGTAGGGGGGAGGGGGTTGAAGAGTTTGGATAAGTATAAACAGTGAGTTTTATAAAAAATCATAGCTTTTATAAAAAAAAATAAATATTATAATAAAAAAAAATAAATAAATAAATAAATATAAATAAATATTTATAATAATATAAATAAATATATATATATATATAAAATATATATAAAAATAATATATATATATATATATATATTATATATATTTATAATATTTTATTATAATATAAATATAAATAAATATATATATATTTTTTTTTTAATAAAGAAAAAATAATTGTGACCTATATGTTTTTGGTAGGTTTTTTCTGCTCTTTCAAATGGTGAGAATTTTTTTTCAAACATTCAAAATTTAACCCTTCTTTTGAAAACTAAATTTTTTTTATTTTTCTTCAAAAAAAGTCCTCTTTTTTTTCTTGTACCAAAAGAAAGCTTATGATGTGTACTTTCAATATGTGAAACGAAAAAATGACGTTTTTTTGTTTTTGAATTATTAATTAATTAATTAATTAATAAAAATTGAAATATTTTACAATATGAAGTATTTTCACTAAATTAACGTTTTACAAATAAATATTTATAAAAATAAACATAAAGAGTTAGTTTTTTTAAACAAATGTTTATATAATTCTACTTTAAAAAAAATATATTCCAGTTATTTGCAACGATTGTTTAAATAAAATATTCAACACCTTATGCGTGTATCACGCTTGATACAGATATTAAAATAATTAAAAATTATTCTGATAAAAAAATCATCTCTTCTTACATCAAAAATGTAAAAATTAAAAAAATGTACTTTAGAAAATGTCAAAAAATATTAAGCCTTGAAGTTTAGTTAAAAAAGTTTAGAAGTTTAGTTTTTTAGAAAAAAAATTTTTTATTTTCAAAAGAAAGGGTTAAATTTAAAATTTTTGAAAAATAATTCTCACCATTTGAAAGAGCAGAAAAAAACCTACCAAAAACATATAGGTCACAATTATTTTTTCTTTATTATATAAAAGCTACGATTTTTTATAAAACTCACTGTTTACACTTATCCAAACTCTTTAACCCCCTCCCCCCTACAATTTTTTAAAAAATTTCATAATTACTAGGTGGTTTTAAGTACTCATTCATAGTTCTAAATACTGTGAAAACATTAGCCCGATCTAACAACTTGCAATTTTGACATTGGTACATTTGAGAAAATTTGCCCCTTATATATTACATACACATTTTGAGATTCAAAATTGTGTAAAAACAAATTTATAATTGCAAAACTTGATTTTAAACCTTCCTTGTGTACTAAAAATTAACAAAAAC